TTAAAAAACAAAAAAAATTAAACCTTCGCCATAATAAGTAATAGCCCTTGTTGTTGAAGCGAATAAATCAATAAAAATAAAAAAAAAAAGAACTATTTAATAAAATATAATAAATATAATTAAACCAAAAAAAAACTTATAATTGACTTTATCAGAACATTTTTAATTATTTAACAAAAAAAAAGCAATTAAAATATTATTCTTTTAAAAGAACGTTTGAGTAAAGAAATAAAATCGTATACTATAGTTTAGATATAGCCAATGTATGTTTTCAACTTTAAAACTTTTTTCATTTACAACTATTTTGGTACAGATCATATTGAATGTGTTCGCGTCGATCAAAACCTACCTATTTTAAAATCGAATATAGAATAAAAAAAAAAAAAAATCAATTGACGTGTGTTATTCGAAGTACAAGTTTTCTATTTTGCGATGTTGCGAAATATGTGTAGTCAAGTGATAACGAATAGAATAATCGTTATTATTTCGGGCACCGATATTTGATTAGGTACATGATTATTAATTATTCTCTGTATTAACGCAATCCGAAATCCCGTGTATCATAGGTACCTCCGTTAAATGTTATGTAATACATTATGTGCGTGTACAACGATCTGTGCGTATTTTATTAGGTAAGTATATAATACAATTCAACCCTCTCAATTCGTACATATTATAACTGTATAATAGTTATAATCATATTATTTTTGATGATCCCCTTTTACAATACTATCCCTTACACACACACACACACACACACACACACACACACACACTGAGCGGGGCGTTTATTACGCTCGTACCATAAGGCGGCTGTATAGGATATATAACTGTGAACACGAGTGAATTGTGTATCGAACTGAGCGGCGACGCTCTCTTCTCTCATTGTCCCGAAGGAATTCCGCCCCATCACACCGTCGTAATAATATGTTTATACACACACACACACACACACACACATACTCACACACTGCCCACATAGCCGACACGCGCACATCTTATGAATATTAAAATTGTATTTTGTATCTTCTGCCGCCCCCTGTCATCGTCCCCGCGTATCGCAATATAATATACCGACCGGGGGCGCACATTGTTTCCCGCCCGATGATGGATCATTAACCCGCTCCGTAATTGGCTATGCAAATATTAAAAACAACATTCCGGCGTCGTAATTATCGCACTTTTATATGAACAAAATGAAATTTAGCCCAGGCGGAATACATTTTAACGTCCGTTTGCTACTGCAGCAGCCCGCCGCGCCGCGGCCCTCAGTATATAAAACTCTAATAAACGAGACCGGGTATTTTGTTTTTATTTCTCATCCCCCACGGCCCCGCCCGTAATAATATTGCGATGAAACATTATTGTTATTATTATTATTATCATCATCCGACGTTGCACTATATTGTTATAAAATATGCTTGTTTATACCGGTCCTTTAATAATTATACGATAAACGCGCAGTTTTATCGATACTGCAGCTCACAGTATAATATTAACAACGTAATTGTTTCATAATACGTTTACACGTTGCAGCGTTATACATATTTTATTCGCATTATTACATTATTATGTAGTTTTTATAATAATTATAAAATATTAATTATGTGTTCAGGTTCCGTTCTGATTATATAAAAACGCGATTTTCGTTTTATTTTTAATAAACGTTTTTTTAGTAATTAATATTAATTAACTAAAATCGAATAAAAAATTATAAAAATTTAATACGTAATTACCTGCCTATAATTATTTGATATAGCAAGTAAAAAAAAAAAAAAAATATAAGTGAAATTAATAGCACACAAAATTCGAGTATAATATACTAGCCTACATAATTTTTTATTTATCATTTAAATATCTACTATTACAATTGTACCTTTAAAAAAATATATATATAATTGATAAGAGTGATAAAAGTAATGTGCGAAGATGTTGCAAACATTAGTCACATATAAAGTTTATTTTCATTAATATTAGTTATCTATTTATTTATGTAATAAATAAATGACTAACGCTTAAACAATTCAGAATATTATAATCTTTTAATAATGCATTTTATGGTATCAAAGTTTTATTTCAATAGATTTACTCAATTCAAAATTTGAATTAACTTAAATTTTTATACTAACGACAATATCTCTTAAAAAATGGTCTTACAAAAATATTAAATATGCATATGTAAAATTCAGAGACATATTTAGGTGAGGGCCTTAAAGGCCTAAGCTTCTAGAGCAGTGACATTTTATGAATGGCAAATTTCATCGTCTTTTTATTTTAAGAAATTACAAAAAGCATTTATTTTTTTTATAATGAAAGGTTATTTTTACATGTATTATATTATAATATAATTAATAATAATAAATATAATTTTGAATTACAAGTTAAACGATTGCATCCGTTTGCTCAAAATGTAATGGTTACTTACATATTATACATACATGCAATACCAATCAAGAAAAAATTTACGCTATAGTTAGGCAGTATTAAATATAGAATTGGATTTGCTGTTAACTTAAAATATTAATGATTTAGTTGATATTTTTATTAAGGAAAAATTAGAAAAAAAATATATTATTTTTTGTAAAATTAATTTGTAAATTGCAAAAAAAGATATTGCATAAAATTAAATTTGTATTATGCATAAAATAATATAACAAATTATATTATCAAATTCATAAACCTAAATATGCTACTTGTAATGTTGTAACTCATATATTATGCTATTGAACAAATTTTACAAACTAAATTTTGGTAGAATAATATTAATTATTTATATTTTAAAATCACCAGAGTTTTCATTTTTTCCGGATCCGTTGTCATGTACGTATCTATTATCTTCGTGTAAAAATACACAAAGTTAGATAACTCAAAAATTACTTGTTTAAGTTTTGATTTTGATAAATCAAAATAATCAGAAAAATTATCTGCTAAATAATTTAAAATCAAGGGTTTCATTTGAAAAACAACAGTTATAGAATTTTAGTAGTACAAAAACATCTCAAAAAGTAGTCTTTAATACCAACTAATGCTTAAAAATTCCAAAACTCAAATGTTGAATAACTATTATCGAAGAAAAAAAAATAGGAGTTTATCATACTTGCTGGTGATTTACCGTGTACATATTACATAAATATTTTTATAATTTCATGAATCATGATTTTATAAATCGATTACCGAACACATTCAAAAATAACACTGCCAAAACGATTATGACCATCTATATATACCTATATTTTTTGCCTCGATTTTATTTACTACGGTATGTGCAGTATGCACGATATTTAGTATTTACTACAATCTTCCAGGTAAGTAGTTTAAGGAATACAAAGTTATGCGCCTACAATATATTTGATTTGTAACGTCGTCGTAATGGTCACCACGATATCAAGTCCATAATGCACAGGCGAAGTATAGGTAATATTATTATTTATTATATATTATATACGTATATATACGACCCGTTTTCCGACGTATATGTGTACGTTGTATAATGTACTTGCGGTACGTGTATAAATATATATATATATATATATATATAAATATATTTTATATAGTTTTTTATACACTTATAATAATGAGATATGATATTATATTATGTCCGACTACCTACACCTTCGGTTATTTAAATGTGCGGAGCATGTGCGTACGTGAGGCGCACAATATTTCAACACTCGAGAGTGTACCCCATGTGTGCAATAATAATATATACTCATAGCATTCACGATTTGCGGGTGTTAGAAGAGATCGCATATATATATATATATACGAATATATATATTGAGCGTACGTACGTGCATATTATGTACATATATGATATTATTGGCGAAGCGATTGGGTATAAGTGGCGCGTGTGGAGGTGTGGGTTGCGAGGACGAGGACGAGGCGAATATGACGCTGGCTGAGGTGGTGAAGGCAAATGAAATACTCATGAAAACAATCTAAACGACAACCATTATTCACGCCGTTAAATCCTTAATATCTTTGCTATTAGTTTGCGCCCTGCCGTCGTCGCGCGTGGATATAACGACGACTTCGACGACGCGCGCGCGCGGCGGAGGGATGATACACGAGTCGACGGGGTGAATATGCGCCGGCCAGAATGCGGGTGGGCGCGCGCGCGCACGCAACACACCCCGGCCACCGGTAGTCACGCCCTTCCACTCGATATATGGTTCCCTACACCCCTAAACACGGGGACGTTCCGAGAACGGGTGGACGGGCGTCATATAATCGTATAGTCGCAGAGGAAATCAATTTCGCGTGCGTACATATGCTAGCCGGATGAGGGGGAGGGCGTGTGCGCACAGCCAAAATGGGAGTAGACCAATCGCCAAGAGGGATGAACGCCACAGCCGCCACTGCCACGACTCTTCGGTGCGGACGAAGGGATGACGGGGAGACGGTATCCTCGAGGGGCCCATGAGTCTCATCTCACAACGAGATAATATACCTTATTATAACGCGTTCGCGCGCGCCGCCGCCGCTTTATACACGCATACATGGGAAACGTTTTATGTGTGGACAGAGATACACGAGCGCACGCGCGAAGGGTCGACGACAGAGAAATCGAGCAGGGGCGGAGAGTTAGAGAGTGGGCGAAAACGAGAGGGGGTGATAAACGGGGAGAGACGAAGAGAGAGGGAGAAGGGGTGAGAAAGTGAGACGGGACAGACAGTCGGACCAGATATATCGTCGTCAGCCAAACCGGAAAGGACGTTCAATATTAAAAACCGATTTATACTCTCCTCCGTCCCCCGCCCACGGACTGCCGCGCTTACCGTAACCCCGTCGTCTCCTGTCATCCGCCCCTTCGCGCGCCGCGCCTACCGTCGGCCTATCTGCCGCTTTGTTCCGCCGCCTCCGGTACAGCAGCCGATCGTTTCTCCGACACGCGTCACGACCGATCTTTTTGCCATCCACGCGAATCCAAACGCGCGCACACACGCGACAGTCCGCACATACACGCGACACGCTCGACAACGCGATCGGTGCACTAGCAGCCCCGCAGTCTTGTAAACGCCGTCGCCGGTCATCGATATCCTCCACAACGCTGCTTTTGTCGTCGTCGTCTCGATCGGACGTCACGAAACCCATCCACCGCCGCCGCCATCGCCGCTGTCCAGTCGCCGATTTTGAGGTGAGTATGTGCGATATCGCGCACCGGAACCGTCCTATAGGTTACCCACCCGGTCGAACCATGAACCGTGGTCGCGTGTTTTACGGGTCGAGGCCCGTTGCACGTTGCGCGACGATGCTCTTTCGGGTGTCAAAAAACAAACGCTTTTTGCGATAAGTCTTAGTGGCGGGTGTTTGCGCGTCGATTGTAATATTTATTATATCTACCGGCTAAGTTCTGTCGATTTCCAGTGATTTTTATCCGGACACGATAACATTATGCTGAAGGTATTTATTTTTAAGCACTGGTCTAAGTACATATCTAGCCGTATAATATACGAAAAGATGGTTATTCCGTCTGAGCAATAGGAACACTCAACATTTTTTTTTCGCATTATTCGTAGTGGCCTTTTTAAACGAAAACTTACTGGCGACCGTTGAATGTTTTCGATTAAATGAAAGAAAACTTAAAGTTTCGATATCAAACACTTGCAAGCGTTGTTTTAACTGAGTCTAGTTATGATATTTTCGGTCGATTTAAAATTTCTATATTCTGTCTAGATATTTTGTTGACGAGAACATAATCTCTAATCGTTAGATTATTAAATAAAATACCACTAGACTTATACCTACTTATAAATTGATATAAGGCATATTATGATATATTATGATTGTTTTGTTTTAATATACATTTCATTTTTTTTAGTCTTATAATATAAGCTTATAGCAGATACCTCCATAAACATTTTATACGATCAATTAATTTACTAATATATGTAGTTTATTATCATTCTATTTTGATTTGGGTTATTTGAACACTATTAATAATAATAAAAGTTGATTTGTATTTTAAATCAAGAAAAATAATATTATCTATAATTCTATCATTCAAAAAACCAGAAAAAATAATTTAAGTTTAGAGAGCTTTATAATCAGAATCAAATTAAAATGAAATTTAAATATTTTTAGTTTATACTTTCTATATGTTATAGCTATATATCAAATTTTAAAGACAAACAATAAAAAAACGAATTTTGAATTATTTTACATTAAAGAAGTGCACGGATTGTCAATATAATATTAATTTGATGTATAGGACAAGTAATTATTATAATTGCAGATGATATTATATCAATAACACTTTTTTTTAAATTAACTTTTAACATGGTTATATTACATCTAAATACATATTATATTTTTATAAGAGTCAATAATAAGTAAATAAACAATCATAGTTAAAATGTTTTAAAAATAAACAAAACATTGAAAAGTCGTATAAAAAAAAACTATCTACTTACTTATACTATACATATATCTGATAATTATATAAAAATATAAAATACAATTTTCTAATCGAAATATTTATTTTATTAATTAAATACATATAAGTAGAGGTCGAATTTACTCTCTTAAAATCCTTAAAATATGTTTTTATGTTGTTTAAAATGTAAAATAATCTTTCAATTTATTTTAAAAAAATATAGTTTTGGGGCATATTTGTATGTAATAGTAATATGAAGGGAAAAACAATATTTAATCAATAATATATCGTAAGATTCAAATATCAACACGCACCGTGACAAACGATTGACAGCTAACGAAATAATCGATGTACTGTTGCTCTCGATGAAAAATACCTGGTGATTAATTTTTATTAGAATCCAGAAGGATATAAAAATAATTCGTATAGTGAATATTGTATTTAGTGATCAATATTATCCAAATTCTGATATACGTGAGATATGTTCATTTGCCGAAATTACGATAATAAAATCATCAAAAATAAAAATATTCTGAAATGTTTTTTAACACGTTGAATATTTACTAACTACTAAGATATACTTTTTATGCAAAATAAATTTTTTCATAATACGAATTTTATGTTTCATGAATTCTAATGATATCTTACTTCCGTTTGACTGCATACAATAGAAATAAATATGTAAAATCATAAAATTCCTATCTCTACATATAAGCATTATAATGAGTATATCTAATATAAATATTAAAATAACTAATAACTAATACTTATTTTTGTTTTATAAAATAATCCCCACTAATTTATTTTTGATTTTTATTATAATTGAACAAAAACTTAAGTTCTATGTGTAAAATATTTACACAATGACTACCTCTCGAAATTTTAGTTACAATAAATCGGTGTAGGTAACTAAAATGAAAATGAATCAACTTTGGGGTACTCATTAGTTAAATATATTTTATCCCTTATTCTAATAACTAGATTCTTATATTTACATTTTAATTTATTATTATAAAATAAGTAAGCATTAATTTAATGTATATCATTTAATTAGTTGCTTAGATATAGTTTACGGAAGCATCTCAACATAATATTACAAGTAAATTTTTTTGCGTATTGTTTTTATTTATTTTTTAATACCGAATTAATTGAAATTTGTTCATATCATGGAAACAATTAGACAATTAAACAAATTAGCAATAAATGATAATATATTGTATAAATAATAAATTATAATATCTTAGTAGAATAACGTAATATATTATCTAACGCAGAATGAACAAATATCTAATACAATAAAATATTTTATACTTTAAAATCCGTTTATTATTTAATAGTAAATATTAATGTTTATAATTATATATATATTTATATAAAATAGAGTACCTACGTAACTATAACGAAATCTTACATCTTTATATTAGGTATACCTATTATTTAATAACTATACTATGTGCTATTACGTTCAATATTGAGTACCTTGCTAATTAGTCATTCTTGTCATAAAAATCAATTTGTCAATTAAACATCATAAAAATCTTGAACATATTTAATTGACAATTTAGTAATTTAGTATCTATTTAATAAATAAAATTGCTTATATATATATATATATTTATATCTATATTTTAACGCTATAGTCTACGGTACTATATACTTATCTAAAATCAATAATTAATGCGATTAGTTTATCTAAAAATAAATAAGATCCTATTATAAACAACTAATGTTATTACAATACTTTATTTTCTTTTAAAAATTTTCTTGAAATGAATATATAGGTACCTACTGTATTTTTAACTTAAATTCTATTCAATTTCCATTTGATTATTTCTTATGAGTTAATGTAGTTGTTAAATGGGTAAAAAAAATTAAATCGTCATTATTCACCATGAAAATAATCATATTTTATATATTATTATGTTTAATGTTAATATCTATGCTTAAATTTTGAATCTTTATTTATACATTAATTTAAAAATGAAAATCTAATTCTATTTTTATAGATAAGTATTATACAAATTATATCACTCAAAATAATATAAACAAATTTATATAATAATTTCAAGATAATATACCTACCACCGGTAGGTATAGCATAAAATATACGGTGGTAATAGTATAGAGAGTAGTCGTACTAAAAAGACGATTCTAATAATATACTCCTACCTATATGTGATTAGATAATATAATATGCAAGAAATGCAGTAGATTCTCCGATCCTTCAATGAATAAATTATTGCATCCACTATGGCTCGTATACGGCTGAGAGAAAAAAACTCTCTAGGTAACTTTATATTTATATGTTTAAGCCCGATAGGTAACTGATGTATAACCAACTATTCCATCACTTGTGATCAGTTTATCTAATAAATACATAAACAGATAAATCATACATATTATTAGAAACATAGGTAGTTATACATACAGTTTGTGTATATATTTATTTATTTATTGAAAATTAATGTCATGTAGTCTCAAGAACAGAAATGATATATACCATGTACAATACATATTATACTGATTTGATTATTTTTCTTGATTCAAAATTTTACATGAATTGATATAAAAAATGTATGGTTCGAACTGGATGTAGGTATCTAACCTACCAGTATGGATATAATATTTTTTGTTAATAAATCTCAAGTTTTCTTTTAGAATCTTATCATTAAATAAATAACTATAGTCTATATTATTAAATACTATTACAACGAATAGCCAGAATATTATGATTCTTATCTACAATTATATATGGTTAGAGGAATAGATACAATACAATTGTAATTTGTATTTTATAAATATTAATTGATGACTGTTACTAAAAAAACAAAATAATTTTGAGCAAGCGATTTTTTTTTTTTTTTTTTTTTTTATTATAAATACTGATGAATTTATTGAATTTAAATGCCGTTGGATTTTTCTATTGCGGATAATGTAAAAAGACCCGATGGATGACTAACGGCGTAACTATTTAAAGTGGAAAATAAGTGTGATTATCTGCAGTGCAATCATGAAATTTTTAAATATTTGTCATAATATGTTGAAATATTGTATTTTCATGAAATGTGTTACTTTAAGTATCAAAATAATATTTATTGACGATATTGAATTATAGAAATAAATTTACTTTAATTTATCTTCCTATACTTAATAATAAATATTTCAACTTGAGCTTGAGCTAGAAATAAAAATAAATTTATAACATATATTTGACATAAGTATTAATTCCTACTAATTATTTTACCATCCAAATTATTAAAATAATTTCAGAAAATTATCATTAGAGTTTAATCAGTTTATTATAAGTATATCTTATTATTGTTATAAACCATTGTTATATATCATATTTTTATTTATTACATTTTTACGGTTTACTTAACATATAATATCATATGCGTTTTTATCAAATTTTAGTACTTTTTTATATGTGCCTTAATGATAAAATATAAATCCTAAAAACAACCATATTAATAATAAAACGTTTTTTCATACACTATATAGAGATATAGAGTATATTATTATTTATTATGTTTAGAATTTATATCTAATTTTGTAGATAACGTATGTGATGTATATTGTATGACGTGTACAATACATTTTCAACAGGATTTATGTTTTTAATTATTATTCTAAAAAGTTTAATCTTATATAAGACTTACAAACTAATTACTTTTCTATTGTTCTATTATAATAAAAATATTTGACAGAAAATTATGTATTTCATAGATAAGTAAATAAAGTAAATTATATTATAAAATAATAATTGAAAATTACTTTTATTTTAGATAAAATTAATCGTACTTACTATACATTTTTTTTTTACATACAACTTTGTAATATATGTTCTTTTTTTAACAAATTTAACTGGCTTAATCATCCCGCATTATTATCATTGTCAGTACATATTTTAAATCATTTTAAAGCCATATTTATTTTATTTCATAAGTATTAATGTTATATAAGTACGTACATCGTAGAAGTTTAATATTTAATCATAAAAACTAATCAAGTATTTTCTTCTCAGGTCCCCGCACAAAAACAATAATTTTGAAAAATAAATAGGAATTAATTTGTTTTTTTTTATTTTGGATTAATATAAATATTTAAATTATATATACATCCAACTTCAATCATTATCTAATAATTTGTAAAACGCGTGGATCAGAATAAGACGTACATTTCATTACTAAAATTGAATTATAAAGGGCAATTATCTGAGTTCAAAATTACTTTTCTTAGTAAATGAAAATATATTTTATCAAAAATGTATTAATATGTTAATATAATTGGTTGTTCTGATGTATTCTATGTTAAAATTACTTACATTAATTTAAATATTTAAAAATAAAAATGAATGAATACATCATATTACATTTTTATAAACACATTACACAATTATAACTTTGTTAAAAACTCTGAACTTATAATAATATTTAGTCTACTATTTTATTCCACCAAATAATCATGTTATTATAAGAAAAATTATATGTTTCAATCATGATCCCTTTAATTACAATGTATTCTACATTATCCCTATTCTCTTATTTTAACAACATTTTAACTTTAGTCATAGATAAGTATACGATAAAGTATCTTAGCCCTTTATGTATGTGAATGGGTTTCAATCATATCTATATAAACATCTCCAATAGTTAAGTACTTAAATGATACATAAATAGTGTAATAAAATAAACAATAAAATTAGAGAAATAACTGGACATTTTTACTTGAAAAATAGTAATACAAATGTATCAAAACAATAGTCCATTAAGTACTAAAATAAATTGTTTAAATCATTAAAAATAAAATATAAACGAATATAATTATATTTATTTCAAATATAATAACAATATTGATCGTATGTATATAAATTTTCATTAATTTGATATGTATGAATAAAAGTCAAAATAAAGAAAATATTGCAGAGATGATTGAAATAAAAAAATTTCATCGTTTGTTTTATAACGTTTTTAAAAAATTAAATTAATTGTACTATAGTATAATGTATATCGCATAAATTTCAAATAATTGTAAATTAACAATTAAAATAATTATGCACTTGTAATTGTTTGTAAGTAAAATTTATACTATAATATTCAAGTAATGGTATTTATATTTTTGTAGTATATGTAATTAAAAAAAAAATTAACCAAAAATGACAAGGTGACAGAGTGAGCAATTCAATCCAAGCTATGACTTTCTCATTTAATTTCTTGTTAGTGAAAAATCTTTTACTCTTGATAAAAAACTTATTCATCGACTAAATATTATAAATTTTAAACAAGTTTTATCCATATTCGTTATTATAAAATAATATACTCGTATACTTTATAAAATATGAACGAATTATCGGTTATTATTCTAAATTTTCTACTTAAAATTAATGAATGCCACTTTTATGTCATATTTTGAAGGCGTATGATATGTAATGTATAGATAATAATAAATTACTGTTAATATTCAACCTAGATTCATTCTGTAATATAGGTATTGTACAAATCTAAAATAAAATATATGCTTAAGTCACAACCTATGTTTATTATTTCGCAAACACAGTTTTTTTAGTCTTTTATATATTTATATATTATAGCTAAAGCTAATTAACTATTTAATACATTACATACAAATTACCAGCTTTAGTTTATATACTGCACCCAATTTGGGTTACAACCACTTTGTGCACATTTACTTAAAATATTCAAAGCAATTGTGTACAAGTTTACAAATAATAATATTTAACCTTTTTAAATACTATGCATAATGCATTAGGTATATTAATAACAAATAATTATAGTTGATAATACAGAGTATAACTTATTTCTAAACTTATAAAATTAAAACATTAACAAAAAAATAAAGTGCAGTACGTTAAATCAAACAATCAATCACTAAATATGTATTACATTTTTAATTAGGTATTAAAAATATGCTCGTTCGATATTTACATTTGCCCTTTAAAATACTCAAGACTTTTTGTAATTATATTTTAAATTTATGGTCAAACGTGTGTAACTTTAAGTAGTTAAATTTATCGAAAACTTTATAACGTTTGTTAGTATTCAAAAAATATTAATTTTATAATTTTATAAATTCATGATATTTAAAATGATTATTTATCTATACTTAGCGTTTTTTTCATTTTGAATATTCGTTATCATGAAGTTCATTGTTGAATATCGTCATTTTACCACCAAACTAGACATTTATAAACTCATTAAAGTATTTTATTATACTGTTGTTATTCGGTTTATCATTCAGGTGACATACCTGACATTCTGTATAATATAAATCAAATAACTAAGTTCTACCTTGAAATATGTTTCTATTGTCTATAATTTTGTGAAAAAATGTCAGCAAATATTCAGAAAAATATTATTTTTACAAACGAATTTATAGTCCAAATTGTATGTAAGTATTGACACTATACAAAAATTTATAAATAGAAAATATTTTCTTAACTATAGTTGTACGGAATATTTTTATTATGCTCAGATATAATAATATTATAATGTGCAATGTGGTATTTTCAGGATAAATTGTTATAAAATACACAACATTTTGTTACACAAAACCGTGAATAAAATAATGACTTATTAACATATGATAGTAGTGACTTAATATTAATAATTTAAATGTTTAATATATAAGCTTATGGAAAATCGTAATTACATAAAAACAATCAAAAGTATATAACTTAACATGGTTGTCTAGTTTAAATTTTACTACCTAATTTTTGTATTGTGAAATTTAAAATAATTTTATAATGTAATATGAAAAATAAAACTACCCAAACTAACTAAATTATAGAAAAAAAAAAAAAATCATTGTCAAATTCACAATCATTTCATAAACACAGATTAATAAAAAATAATATTCTGACTTTTATGGCTTTGCTAAATTCTTAGATCATTCTTATAAATTATTATAATAATAAAGTAACAATACCATGTACTCCAGAACACAGGATATTTTTTCTGGAACAGGTAACAATAATATGTTCATCTTAGCTTACACAATAGTTGAGAAACGCTGATTGTGTTCAAAGTGTTTCAAATTTAGATTTAAATAATATTGAGAAATATTAGTTTTTATCAAACTCTTATGTTTGCTGTATTTTAAAAAATAATGTGAGTAAATAATCTGAAGTAAAATATTATTCATACATCTTTTACTCAATTTTCTGGCACTAATAAAAAATAATTAATAGTACATCGTTGGTTTTTCTTACATTTTAGGCTGTATTAAGACTGTAATGGTTTTTAAACAAATTGTACAACTTTTGATTGAGAAATGCACAACTCAACGTATCCTTGTTTATCAAGATCAAACAGTTCAAATCAAACGTCGTCCGATCAGGAAGTCTTAGATCGTCAAAACAGTTTAATGTTTACTAAACTGCCATTGCCAAAATTAGAAAATGACTTACAAAATTATAATTTGAGATTGGACAACAGACCAAACTCTGAACAGAACAAAGGTAAGTGCATGTCATGTAATAGATAAAATTGAAAAAAGTTGAATTTTAAAAACCGATAACGATACGTGTTTTAAATCTTATCATTTTTTAATGAGTACAGTACATTTTTAAATGTTACAAGTGACGCTTAATTTGAAATTCATCATATCAATAATTTAAATATGCCTGTTTGTTATTCGAACAACCAAGCTTTATTGTAATCGGCTAGATATTTAAATCTGGAAGTTCTATGTAATTGCTATTCATCTTGTGATAATCTAATAGAGTGTGTATTATATTTTTATTTCAATTTCGCGTATGTATATCACTTACATTTATTAATTGTACATAAATACATTTTGTGAATTATTTTGTGTAAGTAATTTTAGATAGTATTGTTAAACCAGATTTAAAACCGTTATATAATTAAATCTCTATGGAAATTAATTTAATTGTATTTATAAGTTATTTACTAAAAAAGATTCTATGTAATAAGCAAAAAAAAAAAACATTTGATATAAAAATTTTTGGTTTATATTCAGTGCGCTCTAAAAACAATGTGAACTTCAATTAAATTTTAAAATATGTCTATGTTTTTTATATTATTCTACAATCAATTTCCATGATAATTTTCAATTAAGTCGATATGTTTATTTTCCAAACATTTTACCCTTTTAGATACCTGAAAAATTATTCTTGTCCACTGTGAAACTAAATAGCCTATCTTAAACGCCGTGTGATCGTGAATTTATATAATATGTCAGTTAAACCCAGCACATTCCACCATCATGAAAATTCTTTTAATTTCTATCATCAACAATTTAATAGATTTTACCAGGATCACTAAACTTTGCAAATTTACAGACAAACATGCCGGTGCTATCATTTTGAGTGTATCGATAACATAACGCATAAAATGCAATTATTATAATACATGAAGATGAGCATATTCGTACGGATAATTTTGCTAAACAATTGATGTCGCATCTTTCAGACAAATTTGCCCGATTTTTTTGTTATAAAATTTTAAAAATTATTCTATGACTCCATATGAGAAAGATCTTCCATTTGACGTTAGCTCCAGAAAATTGTTCAATTAAAAAAAAAAACTGTGACAAATAATTTAGATGCATTTTCCTATTTTTCTTAAAAACATAGAAAATCAATAAACAAACATGTCGATACCAACTTAAATGCACTAAAACTGATGACAATTTAAAACCTCCTCTAAAGGTGTGTTAAATCTTAAATTTCTTTATCAAAATCTAGAACATTTTCTAAATAATTTGGTACATTTTTTATAAATCAAAAAATGCGCTGATGCCGGTGTTAAATTTGAGATTTAACAAACTTGGCAAAAGTCATAATAAAGTATGAATATAAAAATGTTCGTGTATTTTTCTCAGTATTTTCTACATAGAGCCGGTGCGCTTAAAAGTATGGCACCGGCATGTTCATTTTTACACTCACAAAGTTTAGGAATCTTATCAAAATACAAAGTGGATTAAAAACTTTTTCAAATAGTTTATGTTAACAAAATATGCTAATGCCAACGTAACAAACAATGATTTTATCATTGAAGAGCATAAAAAAAAAAAAAATGAACATTGAGCGCCAACGGCGGAAAAATGTGTTTCAAAATAAGCGTTCATGATAACATCTTAGTCGAGCTAAATATTTCCGGTAGGTGTAAAAAAAAATACAATTGTTGAATTATATGTATACATTAGACATCAGTATAATTCTATATCGTCTAATCAAAAATTCTGATTACTATCAATTATGATATACCTATTAAATATGTATAATATTTATTTAAATTTTTTTCAAATTTACTAATAAATAATAATCAATGATTAGATGGTACGACAGATCAAACAATAAGAAGGTATAGAACAGCGTTCACAAGAGAACAGTTGCTTCGATTAGAAAAAGAATTTTACAAAGAAAATTACGTGTCCCGACCTAGAAGATGTGAACTTGCCACCGAATTAAATCTTCCCGAATCGACGATAAAGGTATGTAATTTACCTTTATACTGATATTTTCAGCACATGATTGCTGGATTAGATAGTACTTATACATTGGTCTAACTTGTGAGACATATATATATATATATATAGGATATAGGCATATTAACAGATATAAATCTGTGACAATAATATTATCACACTACAACTGTATATTATTTGAAAATTAAAATAAATATAGTTATGTAGATTTTACCGAAAGAAAAAATCGGTTATTTATATTGATAGCGTAACTTTTAATGAGTCGTCTTAGCACTCATAATTCATAATTTCCACGTTTGACAAACTTATTTTTTAATATCTACCATCCATCTGTATCTATTTTTATTTTTATTGAAAAAACCTTCACTAACCAATTTCACTTTGACGGAAAATTTAAATTTAAATCATATCTTTTACAGATATCATATTACCGATATCAGATTAATTATTGTATTTGTTAAAAACAAATTTTAGATCTTAGTGCTGTAACGATATTGTCACAGCACATTGATTAAATCATTCTATCGATATCAGACGATTGATTATAGTTAACAAATTTTCATTTATTTTTATCCTCTTAAAAAATGTTGTATACTTTTCTCTTAAATGCAAGTTTGGAACTAATACAACTTCATTTTAATTATACGAGTACGTTCACCGTTAACTTTAAATACAACTCTTTCAGCTCCGTCTAAAAATGTAGGTAGACAGTTGATGTTACATTTCAAAATTGTTTTGATATTATATTTAATAAAAAAGTCCTTATTTTTTTTTCCCTTCAATTTCTATTTATCTATCCCCCGATGCTAATAGTTTTGTAATTTAAAAAAAATATTTTGACAAATTTAATATTTTTTGTAATATTCTGTATAAATATAATAACTGATGCAATAATTTTATGTTCAGTGAGTATATTTATATTTTTTCCAATTTCTACACTTTTGATCAAACTTTGTCTTAACCGGGATATTATAGTAATATAATTTTTATGGCAGTAAAATATATAACATATTATATATATTTGCATTGCCAGTGATTATTTTAACATTATGCACTACCCTAAGTTTCCATATTCTATACTTAGTACTATATCGTAACTTACTCGATAACAAAATTAGATAAATTTTGAACATCACGGGTTACCAGGATAACGTTGTTATAGAACTCGGATTTAAAGTTTGGTTTTAAGTAAATGTTGAAGAAGGTACACAATGTTATTTATAGTAATTTTTATCATTAATAATAATTATTATTGTATGTGTAACGTGCTCTTCCCATTAATATTGTTGTCCAAATATTATAATAGAAATATCATATTATCTATGTTAACGGTAGTTAAACATTGTTTATATTTTCTCTGTTTCTTGGTTTATTTCTGTACTTAGCATGTTTTACCATTGATTTTAATCGACGTTATAATATTTTACTTGGCGTCGGTCAGCCACTGCAGTGTTGTTATTATTCGACAATACGCATTTTACACGCATATACCTAGCACTGCAGACCGGTTGCCGATGTTTAACTACCACAAGTCAACAGCGTATTTCCGGTTAATGATTTCAGGTGTGGTTCCAAAACCGGCGGATGAAGGACAAACGACAGAGGATCGCCATGGCGTGGCCGTACGCCGTGTACACGGACCCGACGTTTGCGGCCACGGTGCTCCAGGCGGCCGCGGCCAGCGCGCACGCTAACGGCACGCTGCCCGACATAGCGGCCATCGCCAACGCTTACCAATACTCGGCGGCAGCGGCGGCCGCGGCGGCGGGGCCTTCGTATTTCCACGGCCCGGGCGGCGGCGGCGGTGGCGAGTACGGTAAGTTCCAGCCTCAGCACTACGTCGGTCCAGTGCCTCCACCGCCCCCGGCACCGCCCACCCAGTCGCTTCAACAGATGATTAAGAAGCCGTTCGGGCCGTTCGTGGGCCACCATCACCACCATCACCATCACCATCAGTTCACGTCGGCTACGGCGGAAGTCGCTGCCTTATCCGCGGCCGCCGACGCCTCGCCGGCCGAGTCGTCCAGCAACGGTAACAGTCACGCGGCCGCCTTTGACGGCCACATTGCAACGGCGATCGAACACAAAACGCCGACGGCCACCGCCGTGACGATGGTGGACAACAACAAGACGACCAACGCGGCGGCCGCGACGTCGTCGTCGTCGTCCTCGTCGGCCGCGGACGCCGCCGATTTTTCCGGCACGAGCTGCAAGTGTGGCATAGTCGACTGCGTGCTGACCACTTCCGGCAAGTCGGTCAACAGTAACGGTGCGATGGACGAGTCTACGCCGCCGCCGCAACCGCCGGCCGCCGTTGACCGCTTGCCGCCACAGCTGTTTTTCATGACTTCCGGCGGACCGGAAACCGGCAAAGACGTCATACAGTCGGCCGAATGCTCGTTGGCCGTCCACAAGCACGTCTACCACAAAGAGTACTCCAAAAACAAACTGTTCCAGCCCTACAAATCGGACGTGACGACCGCGAAACTCAATCTGTAAACTCGCACACACACAAACGTATAATTTTATTATTATTATCATTATTATTATTATTATTATTATTATTATTGGGTAGTAACTTCTGTTAATACATTTAAAATAAATAGTACGATTCTGTTACAACACTTTAATATTATTAAGTATAATAAACAACATTAAACCGCGGTATAAATGGTATAATACGTATTCGGTAATAAAAATAATAATAATAATAATAATAATAATATAAAATGTCAAAGGCACCGTCATCTACAAGTCATGCTTTCTTTCATATACACATTACACACACGACCTGTGAAATTTGACAAAACATAACGTGTACACTGTACATGCGATGTATCAATAATAATATAGCATGCCCATTTAAATATTGGTAGTTTTTTTTTTCTTTGGTTAATTGTTATTTTCTATACTCACGATAAAGTAATGATAGTTTTTTTTTTTCTTCAAATTTTGGTCTTCAAACTCCTTGTTTCCCTCGTTTTACAATATCAAGCTTATACACGATCTTCGAAAAACGTATGTGCATATGATATAGGTACTTAATTCAACAATAATATATATTATATTTTGTTAACATTAAACACAATAAGATTATCTCATTAGTGCACTATTAAGTTATTATGTTATATCGCATACAGGGTGTGTAAACATAGTTCAAATATGAAATAATACGTATAGAATTTGTATTGTAGAGAAGTCCGACCACAGGTATTTTAATTTCATCCATAATACAATAAATCATTTATGTAGTATACTATAACCTTGATTAAGTACCAAATTTTTGTTTCGCCAAATTCTAAACTCCAAAGATAAATGCAAATTAAGCGCGCTCAGTTTGGTGTCGAAAATATTTTAACGGCCAATTATATATTCCATTAGAAACCATAATTATAAAACAAAACTACCAACGCTTACCCCTTAAAAAATTCCCATTATGATCGTTTATTATTTTAGACGTCGTTCGCAGTTTTCGTTTCCATACAGTGTGAACTAAAATTAAAGTAGTCGCTTTTGAGTAAGGATTTTCACCGCATAATAACATAGAATTATCATAAACAAACAGTATTCAGTGGTAACTATTTTAAAATTATTTTGAACTCAATATTTATTTTTAATTCAATTTTTCTGGTACAGACCAGGGCATATGTTTTCGATTTGATTTCAAAATAAAAACTTTTTAAGAGTTAAAGTTAAGAAGAACTTTTTCGTACAACATAAAATATTAAATTTAGGATAAAAATAAAAATTCCATCTATCAACCACCACAAACTGCTAAGCGTGAAATATTTTGATCGGTTCGTTCGGAACGATTTTATTACGGAAGTATTAATTTTAATAAGACTTGTATGTTGTCTTTTCAATGGAATAGTATTGTCATTATGAAATAATTTTGTCCTAGTCTTCCAGATTTATCTCGTTTAATTTCATATTGATTACTTCTATTATTACGAACCACATTATTCTAGTGTTAAGTATATGTATAGATACCAATGGCCCATGCGCCGAGGATATGAAACCCCATACCTTTCGTGAGAGGCTTTAAGCAATTAATCGAGACCCTTTTCGAATGGCCTCAGCCGGGTATATTGTGGCGATCCAACGGACAGCGGGTACCTCCCTTTAATGTGGACCAGGTTGCCAAAGTATATAATACAATTTATAGAATACATTACACAACAGATCCCCGCCGCTTCTTCGTCAATCAATAAAATACACTAATAATAATTAATTATTATTTATTTCATTGTTCTTGTACAATATATATTATACAGATCCTTAGCCTGCGAGCGTAACGATAATTTATAACTTTAAAATGTCCGTTAAATGTTAATAATGATGCACTCTATTTATTATTTAACGGTGTATCATTGGAGATTATTTTTACAAATCCCTTGCTTTCTAACTGTATAAATAAACGATGAATTTGTTAATATGATATAAATACATAAGTCAACTGATACAAATATTAGAAAATTATATAAATAAAATAAAGAACGTTTAGTAAGACAAGACTAAAAAACTAAGATAACAAATAAATAATATATTAAATGTTAAAAACGTACAAAATATTTCTACTGAAATGATATTAATAAGGTTTTGAAGTTCGAAGGGCTTAAAGCCAAAAGCTTTCAAAGTAAAATTATATATATGTATAAGTAAGTATAAATATTTATTCTGAGCAAATTAAATTAAAACTTGTGCAATAATTTTAGGTACTTGAGGACCTCATTAGTTTTTATTAAAAATTATTCAGACAAAACATTCCAAAACAACTTGAAAGAATTTATATAAATGCAAATTGACCCAAAATAAAAAAACGAATTGACATTATTCAGTGAAAAAATTCATATTTTTATACTAATTACCTATCATTATTAAAATAAATGAAAGAACTGTAAACATTGTTTCATTAAAAAAAAAAAAAAAAAAAAAAAAATCATAATTTCCATGTATTATTTTACGTATAATAGATACTATACAGACATTAGGGTATATACTTAAAATTCGTTTTTCAATAAATCGATGTATTTAACTTTTAATGCACTCCTACAAAATGTTTTTCAAATCTTTTATTAAACATAAAATTTCCAAAACATTTAAAAAATATTATGAGAAGCATTTTTTCAAGTTATTTTATTCTTCTTACAAATACTGATTTGATATCAATCACTTAATATTCATTATTATCATGGTGTATAAAAATATTCTTTACAATGCCATGTTAAAAACTTAAATTTCTATTGATAATACACTTATATGATTGTATGATAAAAACAATATTTGTATGATGAAACAATTTTAACAGCGTTTTGCTTAAAATTACATATACATTTCTTTGGAACAAGAACAACATTTTTTTATACGTTTTATAATAATATAAAACTTTATGATTAATAATCATGCTACATTAATAACTACTAAAAAAAAATAAAATTGAGTTTATATTTTATAAATGTTACATAGGTATCCAACTTTAAATTTGATATTTTGTAAATAGCTATTTACATAAATAATATTATATCACTAGAAGGTATATAGTTGATGTAAAAATGTATATAAGTACTTACGTATTATAGGACAAATATTTCCTATAATTATATTGGTACATGAATAATTGTGTTCTAATAATATACGCATATTTTTATTCTGGCTAGTAGAACCTGAAATGTATATATGTGTTTGTATAATCTCTTTAAAGAGTTTCAAGTAAAATTATTACATTTTTTAAATACCGTCAATAATAATACTGTATTACTTATTCTAATTCAATAATTTAATACTTCAGAACAATGCATATATCATGCGTGTTGTTTTATAAAAACCAATTTTATTTTAAATTAGTTTATGTGCCAATGTCGAATGTCACCCAAAAAACTATCTCACTTAACTATATATACTTATAAATTTGTTCCTTTATTCGTCTTTAAGAAATATTTGTTAACTGCAAGTTGAAATTAATATTTTGTGTAATATATTTAATATGATATAATATTTTATTTTAGTATATAATATGATACTGACTGAAAATCTTAATAAATTTTGATTGAAATTAATGTAAAAAATAATGATTTAGTATGCAATATTTATGTATAATTTATAGGATACTTAATCATCTAGTCATATAGCATTTCAAAGTACATTATTAGACATTAAGTCTTTTATTATGAAACAACCATTTATTGCGTTTTAAAATTAACTAAGTAGCTGTAATATACATATAGATACCTTAAATTATGTATTTACTTTTGTATATAGATAATATTAGAATTTTAGTGTAGTTAATCTAAAAAAATTAAATGATATTTAACTATTTCAGTTGTCCAACGACATTAAATAAAGTGTTGTATAAAAACTAGTTTAATAATATATTGTATCACTATAATATGTTTAAGACATTTAATTAAATAGAATATCTGCTTATTTAATGTAAAACAACTAGGTACCTAATGTAAGAATTCCATGTACCAGTAATTTATATTTATTTATACAATTTTTTTTTTTTTTATTTATATTTAGATGATTAGATCAAATTAATGTAAATAAAAAAGTCTTCTTTTTTTCAGATAAACAATAAATAAATCTACTTTACCCAATTGAATGTACTAGTAATTATAACTCGTAGACAAGTTCGAGTTTCAAAAAATTATCAATTGTTAATATTATTTAAGTTTCCTTACCTATAATATTAAGCCTATATACTGAATGGTCTCAAAGCATTAAAAAAAATATCCAACAGTTTGACGCTGAACACTAGTTATTATTTAGTATGAAACTTAATTTTATCAAAATTAAATTATGGTTATATTTTATTTGTCAGACGAATAAAAATTGCCTAAATAGACAATAATGATATTTGATAATCAAGTTTTAATTATATTTACGAGTACACTTACATTAAATGAATACCTTTAGATTCTAATTCAAATATTTTTTTTTATTAACATTTTTATTAAAATGTATATTAAATATTATAGTGTACTATTTATAGTATGTATCATGTGTGGATAAATATTTTTTTATCAATTTTTAAGTTTATGCTGAAAAAATTGATAAGCAAACGCAATTTATTCAGTAAAGTTTTTTCAAACAGAGAATAATATAATACCTACCTATTATTCATTGGTATTATTAATGTTCTATTTATATAAAAATGCTTATATTTATTATAATATTAAAAGTAACTTTAAGATTCGATTGTATGTTATAGATATAATTAGAATATATTATAATATAATATAATTATGAATATGCGTATGGTATCAATATAATGTTTAAAATATCATAATATATATTTATGTCAATTTCACAAAAACTGTTATTTTCAACTACTTTGTATAAATAGGTTATTTTATTTCAATTTTGAATTAAAAATGTCTTAAATGTTTCAAATATTCATAGCAGATATTAATTATTTATATAATAATTAATAGGTAAACAATTGTAACACAAAATCCTCTGAAAATCTTGGGACCAGAATCTGACTTGCGCCAGGATTTAATTTTCTTTGTATACTAAAATCAAAGCCCAGTTATGGTATGGATTTTTTGGATTTCATTAATTTGAGTTTTATTCTATTCTTTAAAGTATTAATTCAAAAATAATGAAATTATTTTACTAAGTAATTTTGTTATTCTAAAATTTAAAAACAAACATAGGATAAGTATTTTTATTAAAACACTATAATTAGGTACATTTTAATAAATTATGGTATGAATCACAGTATATATGATAACCATACTTGTATAGTTGTATAGTATTCGACACTTTTTCTGTAATGTGATCAAAAAGTTTAATTTCAATAATCTAAATCAGAACCAAAAAAAATTGCAAGCTTTGCAATAGCTTTCAACACAACAACAACAACAGTATTAGCCAATATTATTTATTTGTATCTAAGTTAACTATGTACATGAGATCTTTTTGAAAATAAATGATAAAATTATATAGTCCATTAATATTATTATAACTATACTCGTATAGTCAAATTATATTATGTACAATGAATAAGGAATTATCATTTATTTTCTTTTGACTGTATACATATAAAGCACCACGCGATGGAAAATGGAACCTATAATACTAATATGTATCTAATACGACATAGTGTTAAGATTTCAATAATTATATGAATATTTTTAACTCAAATGGATTTCAAAAATAACAGAATAATTATAAATTTTAATATCTATCTATAATAAACAATAATACATTAGTGACATTACAGATACAATATAGTGTAGGTACATAAACATATAAATGAAATAACTATAGTTATATATATATAATATTTAAAAATAATTATCGGTAAATTGGATATCTATTTATCGTAAACAAAAATAAAATGTGAGTGATGGTTGTAAAATATACATCTTCAACTCAATACAAGACATTTACAATAAGATATTATATAACATTTTTAAAAATGTTAGAAAAAAGTGCAGTAAGGATGAATTTCAACAAACAAATTACAGCGATATAATATTATGTTACGATACGTATTTTATTTATTAGAATATTATACCCGCAAATTAATGGTTAAGTATAGAACTAAACAGCAGAACCAATCTTGGACGTTATTAAGAGTATATTTTTATGCAACCTTTATTGAACATAATTTAAAAGATCATAGTGATTAATTTTTTAAAAAAAATATTTGTTTTTATACTTCTGAGATCAATTATTAGGTAACCAATAGTCGACAAATATATATTTTATATTATGGATAAAGAAATATTAGAAATATTGACTCAATTTACACAACTCTGTTCATATGTGAGATAAGTAAATTAAAAATAAATAATAGAAAACGACGAATATTATGATCACATCTGATATATTATGTGCATCAATGTTTTATAGACAATAATATTTAAACGCAAACCCATTTGATGGAGAAAAAAAAATTAATTTCAACCGATAGAATTGCAAGTTCTCATTGATTTAAACAGTTAATTTATTCTATTTTTAATGATTTGAAATGTGTTTATTAAAATTTAAATACACAGGAAGTATGAAATACGAACACAGTAATTAATACCGTTGCGGTTGTAGCAATCAACGACATAAAATAATAATAAAAGCATCCGATATTATTATCTTGTATCGTGGTAGACTTGTTATTTTCTGCTCTCTCGTATTTATTTATTGATAAGTCTACTATTGCGACTTTTGATTTTCAAACAAAAGATAAACAAATTTATAAAAATCAGTTTATTTTTGAAATTATTTCAACGTATGTAAATATCGAATAATGAAGAACCAAATCGATTTTTTAAATATGTATTTTAAGTTAGATTAGAGAAGTGAATTGCAAGAACACGCCCTATCAAATTTTCGATTCATCGATATGCTAATCTAAACTTTAAATGCAGTGATTTGAATAAAAAATAAAAATACTAGTTTAGCATAATTTATAGATTGTGCACTTCAATATTTATATGCACATATAAGTATATATATATATACTATAAATTAATTACTCAATACAGGTTTTCGTTTAAAAATTGATAGTTTATAGTATTTTCGTCAAATGACACGATGATAAATAAATAAGGACAACATAAATCAATAAAACTGCATGTACCTATAGGTTGTAGAAAAAAAGATTCTCTATATAATATAGTCCATCGTACCTACTAAAAATTATCAAATCAAAACATTAAGCAGTTTTCACTGTTTAAAAACACGCACACGCACTGTCTGATATCCATTGCAGTTGAATACGACGTATAATATTGGAAAAATATTCGAAACGCGTTTCGCACACCCGACGAGAACGATGACGATACAATAATATTATTATAAAGTTCGCAGCATAGTAACGCGTAATATTGTTATTGTACTGTAGTGATCACCGTCCGGACTACGTGTCAATAATATTAGGTTGGCATTCGTGTGGCGCGTGTGCTCACGCCAGCAGCGACGGCCAGCCCGAGACCAACGACGACGAAGACAGTGCCACCAGGACGAGCGCCACGAGAGCGGCCGACCCGGGACCCTCGTGGACGGCGGTGGCCGCCGATTCCACGGTGCGATTGGGACAGCACTGGAGCGCGACGGCCAGCACCTTGGGATAGTACTCGTTCCAGAACTCGGGTTCCTGTTCGGGCTGCGACATGTTCGGCACCTTGTCCAGGACCATGACCCGGGGGTTGCGCGGATCGTACTCGTCCCACCGGACGTTGACGCCGGCCGACCGGTATGCCGGGTCGGCGTGCCGCGCGAAGTTCGTCCACAACGCCATCGCGGTGTCCGACATCCGGCGGTCGGCGGCCGTCCAGTCGATGGCCGAGGCCGACGGCCAGTACGGCATGCCCCACACGACGGGCAGCTCGACGCCGTGCGGCGCGTCCATCCACTCGGCGGCGGCCGGCAGCGCTTTGGTCGCGCGCAGCTTATACTCGTACCGGTACACGTACGTGGCGTTCAGACGCGACACGTATCCGGCCACTCGGTGCCCGGTGGCCCCGTACGCCTTGTTCGCGGCCATGATCACGTAGTTCCGGCGCAGCGTTTCCGGGTCGTCCGTCTGCCTGGCGTACCGCAACACGACCGTGTCCACCACGAAGCCCGCGTCGAACGTACAGTTACTGTCGTCGTCCGCTACGTCACCGCCGTCCGGAAGTCCGCCGACCGATTCGCCAGTGGTTACCGTGGTGGCTGCCTGCTGTTGCTGCTGCTGCTGCTGCTGCTGCTGAAGTCGCCGGAACTGACGGGCCCGACGATCGTCCTCGTCGTCGTCGTCGACGCCTTCCCGGACCAGCGCCTCGAACCGATCTCTGGTTATGCCCTCACCGCCGCCGTTCATCCCGTCGAACGCGTCGAAAGCGCCGAAAGCGTCCTCCATCCGGTTGTAGCCGATCATGTGCGGCACGGCGGCGAACCGGCCGTCGTCCATGAGCGCGGCCGGCGTGTCCGGCAGGAACGGGTCTTGGCCACTGCTGTCGTTGGCCAGCGCCGGGCCGTCGACCACCGGGCCCCAGCGGGTCAGCGAGCCGCCGCCCTTGACCAGCGCCTCGGCGTCCACGTTCCGCAGGCATCCGGTCAACGTGTTCCGGAAGCAGTTGAACTTGTCGGCCAGCGCGTCCAGCACGGCGTCCGGCCCGTCCGCCGGCATCACGGCCGTCCGGAGCAGCGCGTTCCCGCTCATGCTGATCGCCCGGTGAAACTTGTCCCGGGACACGGGCGACACCGCGTGCAGGCCCACGCTCACCGCGCCCGAGCCCTGTCCGAACACCGTCACGTTCTGCGCCGAGCCGCCGAAGCTGTCGATGTTCCGCTGCACCCAGTCCAGCGCGGCAGCCTGGTCCAGCAGTCCCCAGTTGCCCGACGCCTCCGCAGTGTTGTCCGTGTAGAAGCCCAATATGTTCAACCGGTACGCCGTTGTCACCACGATTACCTGCGGCACAAGTCCGTGTGATAACACACGTTTTACATATTGACAAAATAATATAATAATATGCTGTATAGATTTTAAATGCTTGAGAAAATCACGCACGTATTATCGCCCGGAAGAATCGTCGTTAAAAAAATGCCCGATGTTCTAAAATGTCAACGACTTATTATTTTGAATTAAATGCCTCCCGTTATTTAATTCAAAATAAACTTACTATACGCATTTTATAAACGTAAAATTGTCAATTACGTAGCTCGTGAAACACTAATATTATGGCCTGAATGTGTACCAAAAATTCAAGTCAATATTTTGTACCAATAGGTTTAATTTTCCTAAAAAACACTTTGAAGGAAATTCTAAAAATGAATCATAATATTTTTGAAAAAAATAAAAAATAATTACCGTTTCTTCTTAATTATTTATTATACTTCTAAATAAATGAATAATATTCATAGACGTTTTTTTCCATAATTACTTATGTAAATATTTTCTCGAATCGAAAATAAATTATCACGCTTATAACCGCTAAATTATTTCTCCCATTGTAATAAAGTTATTTTTTATTATAATATTATTTAAATTTATGCCAATATTCTTGATACAATCTCTTGTAATAATGTAAATACATTTCATAAGTAATAGAAAATATTTTAATACTTTTAAGTTTATAACGTTTCACTCAAAGAATAAAATACTAAGTACAGTTTAGCATGTATTGGTGTAACATAGGTATATGTGTAATAAAATAGATACTAAAAAATTATTATTTTAAGTTGGTAGGGATGTTAAAGCCTTAAAATTGGAAAAAAGTTACGATATATACGATTTTATAATGCATTATAAGTACTTAATTTTGTGTGTTTTTCTAATTAAAAACGCAATTATTTGTAACCATTTTATAGCTTACGAGCTTACGACTTTTTGTATGCTATAACTTATAAACTTGTTGTTATATTTCACAACAGTAAAATGCATCATACCTATTTATGCGGTACCATTAATAGCTGACCACGATTTTATAATTTATCTGCCGCCGTATTGTCGTAAAAGATAATAAGATACGTTTACACTTTTTAACGTGGTGTTTTCATCAGATATATAATAATATATTATAGCTATTTTTTTTTTTTGCTATTTGCAAAACGTACTTTGTGTCTAGCGGCCAAAACCGAAGCATCCCAATATATTGGCGTTCCCCAATGAAAATCGCCAGGATGAAACCAAACCATAACTGGAAACTTTTCTTCTGGCACCGCACCTATGTAGAACAAAGAGAAATAAAAAAATGTACATTATATTAGATTTTATACAATATGCAAGTTAAAGGGGCGATAATTTTCTTAGCACTATACCAACTAACACAATCACATTAAAATTTTCCAAAAATCATTGATAAGTATTTAAGTTGCTAACTCAAATAATGATAAAAGTGTTAATTGTTTAAAAAAATGATTACACGTCCATTATAATTAAATAAAATTTAAAAATCTTATTAAAATAAATAAATAAATATATATATTTTAAATCTTATTTAAAATCTTAAAAACATATTATTAAAACCTATAAATGAGCAAGAGTATTTGATGTATAAATGTTTAATGTATATTTGTAAGTGCATCTACATTATCATTAAATCATAGAGATTGTCATAAAATTAAATTAAACTCCTATATTTCTTTCCTAAATTAATTTACCATTTCAGTGACAGTTTTGAAATAAATTATGTATATAATTATAGTGCGTGTTTTATTTGATTGAAATATATTTTAGGGATGGAAGTTAAAAAATATATCATTCTATTCATACTTTAGCTTCAAGATACATTCCTGTGTATAAATTACTTTTTTACATGCAAATACCTAACATGTGATTATTAGTATGTATTCTCAGTATTTTTCACACGTCTCGGCTAATCTTTCCAATTCTAAGTTTTACGATATAGTCCAGGATTTATCATACTAATACTACTATGGAATCTTTAGTGCACATCTGAAATAATTTTAACCTTAAAAATTGTAAAGATAACTCTGTATACTTGGACCAATTAACGTGCCTACAGACTAAGATTACTTTTAACACATGAATACACCACTTAATTGGCCTACAACAGTAGGTAACCATTTCAAATTTGCACCATGTATAATAGCTGTATTCGCATTTCGCATGACCGATTCTGAAACTTTACTGTCAAACTTAGTATTGAGAAGATGTAGAAGTGTGCATAATACATTTAGATGTTTATTGTACGATAAACATCATCACATGAAAAAAAATATTGAAAATAAGTATATTTGGTATACAGGGAAGGTAATGGAGTTAAGTGTCTACAATACCTCGTTATTTAATTTTCGATAGCATAGCAGTGTATTTAACATTTATAGACGATTCACGGTTAGGTTATATTTTGTTTATTTAAACATATTAGTTATCGTTTTAAATGATTTATAGTCACATGTTCTATCACTTGATAAAATAATAAGTAAACCAAACACTTATTTCCAATTTTAGAAAACTTAACTAAAAATCTAAATACAGAACAAAATTTAAAAAAATACGCTAAAATCAAGACCTTAATAATATATGATCTGCAAGACATAATGCACTTTTATTAAATACACAATCATGTTCTTCTTTTATTTTATTTTTTTATTTTATCGTTTTAATTGAAACATTTAAAACTTTAGTATAAATTAAATAACCAAAATTCAAGTAATTATTTTTGATATATTTTATTAAAATGAACGTACTCTGTATATTAATTTAAACAAATTAACTTTAAAAAAGTTCGTAGCTACGCTTATGGATAAAAACTTGACAGAATCTTCGACTAAAAGTTTCATTTTTATACGTATCGAGCAGTTTTTTAAATAACATTGTAAAAAACGCGCATCACAAAATATTTAAATGCCATATTATTATCTAATCTATTAACAACAAATCGATCACACTTAACAATCATAATAATACAATATATGCTTCAATTGAAGCGATTTTTAATAGACCTATATAGCATAATAATCATTTTTATATTCGATTTACTCAGAAAATTAACTTTGCAACACGGCAGCATTGAAACGAGACGCTCGTTGATCGATTTAAACCCACGCGCTATATTATAGGATTCGTCTTCATAAATTACAATTAATACAAAATATATATGATACATAAACGATACACATCATCGTATTTGCCATATTCGCATTTCATGATAAGTTCAAATAAATTGTATTTGTACACGTATCTATTTATATCATAATATTCTATATAAACGTAAAAAATTACGAAACTATTATCGTGCTCAACATCAAGGTCAGCGACCTCGAATAATAAATTTTGAGCCTACATCCAGCCCTTTCTTTGTATAAAATAAATTACACCTTATACAATACGTACAGAGCTCACCCGCCTTTGAGCGTTATAATGTCGTCTATTTCGTTATTGTATGCGTTTATATACCATATAATATTATTACAGTTATCATATTATCGTATAAATAATTATACAATGCTAGGCTTACCTTCAGCATCTGTTATAAAATGTATTAAACTATGTAAATACCATATATCTATTCCTTATTACCGTCAATTTATTAAAATATTTTTTAACGAAAATTTCCATATCATGAGAATATGTGAAAATGAAACATTTAAACGAAAAATAACGATTTTAATTATTTTGATGTAATTTAAAAATACTGTTCGGGAGTAGGTACTTTAAACTTTTAATATAAATTATTGAGTACAAAAAATGAAATTTTCAAATGCAATATTCACTTCAAAAAAAAAATCCATCAATTGTATTCCTAATTGTAAAATAAATTACTTTAATAGCAATATATATATACATTATCATAAAATATACTTAGTAAAATAGACTACGACAGTTTGAAGTTCAGAGAATTGTTTTTTGTGTGCAATGATTTATCATTGAATTCATATTTAACACTACATTACAGTGACTTACTCCTCAATGACGAGCTTCACTCAACATTTACTGTACGATTACAGCAGAGCAGTTGCTTTCTTTCCCTCTCTCTCCTTTTAGATTTTTATCTACCGATAAACCGTTAAAATTTATAAAAACGATGTAGATATCTAATTATATGCTAATACTCGTATAATATTATAGAAGCCTATTCAGGCAGTTATAAAGGTATTATAACAATATATACATATATTTTCATACAGATGTTAATTTTTCTAATCGACTAGATTTTCGTTTTAAAATATATCGTAATGCGCACGTAGTACTTTTAATTTGACGAAATCGCATGTGAAATAAATGACTTACCTACACGGGTTGCATTAGTATTTAGTATAACAATATTTGTTTATTCAAGGTCGTAGTACCTACCAATAATTCCTATGAAATTATAAACATGAGTCATATAATAATTATTTATAAATTATACATTAGACTCTTTCTCCATTTTTTTAGTACCTACTTATTTTAATGACAAAATAACTGCTATTTAAATCACATTTGATCTAATCTTATTACATTGAAATAATTTTTTAAAAACTTGAACGCACAGTAAGTACGCATGTTTACATAATTTTCTATTTATTTTAGCTAATTTTCACCTTAAATTGTCTTTAAAAAGTTCTAAAAATAAAGTATATTACACTGTTATATATATTATTACTATATTTCAGTAACTTAAATTTTGAATTCTGAATTTGATTTGATTTCAAATATAAGTGTCCAAATAATAATGCAATTTATTCCATGTGCACCATTAATCGTTTGATTCCAACAATTACAACCACTATCAAGAATGAATAGAAGATGAATATGAAGCATTTGAGGAGAATAATTGTTCATAAGTTATAACCGTGAATTGTAATAGTTACGTACCTACTACATTTAACATTTTAGCACATATTTATTAATTGTATCATTACATTTTTATTATTAGGTATTTATATTTTATTTAGTTCGTATAGATAATTTTTAAACATTAATTTAATTCAGTAAGAATTTCATCATTTTAAAATAGATTACAATTATTAGTTGTTACGAAAGATATTAATCAAATTTTGTTTAAATGAAATATTCTTTAAAAGAAAATTTTTTCTATGATAAATATTCTACCTACAGAATATATTTTGTCCTCTGAGATATTTTGACTGAAATTTTTTTTTTTTTTCGTTAAAATGTTTATCTTGTATATTTTTTATTTCACTTTTTCAAATCAATCGTAAAATAATATTGAGTTCACTAACTATGTGTAATCAAAATTAATCGTTTTTCTTGTCAAACTTTTATGAGTTTGAATATTTACCTACGTTTCCGACTCTAGGTTACACTTATAAATATACACAGTAACATTATCGACTTGATTCACTATCTTCAGATTTTTTTCTTTTTTATTACAACAAACAACAATATAGATTACTTTGTGCGTGCACGAGAAAAATAAACAAGGTCTGTTATTTTTATTTTTATTTTTTTTTTTTTAGTTGTCTTGCGTGATTTGAATTGACAACTTAGACGACTTTACCGTTCCGTGCAGTATACGTTAAAATAAACGACAACCGGTAAGCGAATTATTACAGTTGTTTTTTTCATTTTACTTTTATGAAAATTCGTTTGACTGACTGGCACTATATTATATTTGAATAATAATATTATTGTTTTAAAATAAACATTTCACAAATAATAACGTATTTAATTCTAATCAAACGAAAGAAAGCACACCAAGTTATATCAATAATAAAGCGCATTAACGACGTATGGATGGATATATTTTTTTAATATAAATATTAGGTATAATGTTACTTCTATAATTTTATATTATACATATTATTATTTTTCGTTATATTACTGTAACTTGGAAAAAATTTTAACGAAATTACGCACCTACTACGTTAAAAAAAAGTAACGTTGTTACTTTCATTCCATTACTTCTCAACCCTGTAATCACTGGCGTTCTGGCGCAGTGTTATAACTATATGTACATAATATTAAAAATCAATTTATAGCAATCACTAGTTATATTAATATACAATACATATATAAATATAGTGTTAAAAAATTTCATTAAACATTTCAATTTTTACTATGGTTATTATAATTTTTGTTTTTATTTTTGTAATTCTCATTTAGAATTTATAATATTTTATACTATACAAAACATTTATTAAACAATATCGAAAACATTTCTTTAGCTATATATAGTGTATTTTTTTTTTTTACCTAACAATCAGTCAAGATATAAAGAATGTAACTATTCTATAATGTTATCTGATTGTCTCG